ATTATTATTACTATTACCATTATTATTACTATTACCATTACTATTACTATTACCATTATTATTACTATTGCTATTACTATTACTATTATTATTATCTACTTTTACCTTTTTAGAATCTGTTCAATGTCATGTTTTTGTGTGGTAATTTCATCCATATTCTCTTGCGCTACTTTCAATTCACCTTCCACTTTTCTTTTAGCTTTTTCTAAATCCAGGCGTGTACGCTTCTCACGTTCTAGTTTTTCTTCCACCTGAAAATCGTCAAATTTGATTATCAGATTTAGATGAAAAAGCTAGTAGATTTGTTGGATCATTTATTAAACTTTAGAAATCACTAATTAAACAGATAATTCCATGCTAATTTAATTTTGAATTCACTATATTTCTATACAATAAAGATTTATACTGACATCATCTAGCTGTTGTTCGATTTTTGTCTTAATTCTTTGCATGTGATTAACTTTATCTTCTTCAGCTTGCAAGTCCTCCATTAGTTTTCTGTTCACCTGCAAATCAGTCATTGATGGTGCAAATTCAACGAAAAATCGATAACTTCTTTTAAAATGCACTGAAACTTCAATGCATAATGAGATTTATTATATTAAATAAATTTGAAATGCTTTATTGAAAAGGTTAAACAAAAAATTAGAAGTATAAAAAAAAGCATAAAAAAAATGTACAAAAAAAAATGAAAATGAAAATTTAAAATATATAAGGAAATACCAAGCGCTGTTATAATTCGGAAATCAATATCTCTTTTCTTTTTATCCACTGTCAGCAACAATTTTTAAATCAAATTTTAACTTTTTTAATCAAATGCGAACTTTTTTATTTTTAAACTGAGCAAATTTTAATTTTTCTTTAAATTCAAAAATAAAAGTGTTAATTTAATACCTCTTCCTGCTGTTTCTTTTCTTTGTTGACACGAGCAACGGCTTCATCTTGACTGGCCATTTCTCCTTGCAGTGTTCGAATGTTCTGCTCTCGAGATTGCTTTTCACTTTCAGCTTTTCGTAATGCCATTTCAAGCTCCTGAATTTTTTCATTTATCACTTTGTATCAATTTATTGTTTACCAAGTTATTAAAGCTATTAGTGCGCAAAAAATTCTATTTTTGAATTTTCAACAAATTTAATTTTTGAAATCACTAAATTTCATACCTGATTCTTTCTTTTTAATTCACTGACTTCTTGTTCACTCTTCTTTTTAGCACGATTTAAATTTTCATTTCGATCGTCTAATTCTGCAACACGATCGTTCAGATCTTGTAACTGTCGTTCCATATCCGCTTTCATTGCATTTAGCTTCTGAACTCGTTCCTCAGCTTCAGCTGTATGAGTCTTTTCTTTTTCCAAATTTGCAAATAACTGATCTTTCTCGTTGGTTAAATTGGTAATCTGAAATTTTCTCTCTTTTAGTATTTGTTTCTTTATCAAATAAAAATGAATTAAATTCAGAGCAACAATACCGGGCGCACAACACATGTGATTTCTTGAGTTTTTTTCTAATTTTTTCTTTTTAATATTCTTTTCCTTTATTATTATATTACTCTCACTTATTTTTTACTTAAAAGTTCAACGAAATTTAATTAAAAGAGTTGTTAGAACGTAAAATATTAAGAAAAAATAGAAAACGGTTACTGCAACGCCACATTAATGCATTTGAAATTGATTTTTATACATTTTAAATCAATCGAAAAATTATGAAAACAATCGTTTTCATCTTGCAAAAAATACAATTTGGTATCAAAATGTTTATTTTTCATTCATAAAAAAGTATGAAAGCAAACGGCTTTTAGCTGAAAAGTGATGAATCACAATAAAACAGAAATTTAACAGATTTTTGCTCCTTTTTGCATTTCTAGCTTTCTAATGCTTAATTTCTCTGAAAGACATGTTGAAATATTAAAAACAAATAAAAAATAAGCATTTAATAACTTAAATCTTTTGAGTATACCATTCTAAATGTACTCTGCAGTTTTCGTTCTGTTATGAAGATTGAAACAATTTATTTTGTTCCTCAATATACTAAAAAAAATCATTTTTCTTGATAAAGAAGTTTAGGCTTTCAACGGAATTTGGAATGATCATAAATTTGATTGAATTTGAGATAATACCAACAATTCTAACATCGAAATAAATAAATTATGCCGATAGTGATAATAATAGTGTTAATATTGGTATGAATCAAAACAAAACGTTTTTACATTGCAGTCAAATTTATGAAATAAAATGTGATTCACACCTGTGATTCTAATTCTCGTCGATTTCCTTCTTCCTTCGACAATGATTCCTCCAAAGCCTTAATTTTAACGTTTAATTTTTCCATTTCTTCCACTTCTTTACCAGCCTTCAACATTGGCTTTACACGACCGTACAATTTAAACCAATCCCAAGTGCGCAGCATGCACCATACACGAATGTTACGTTGGATCATTAGCAGACCTGAAATTGACTGCTTTGGTGTAAGAAAATTAATTCCCTAATATTTTATAGCTTCTTTCGAGCTGCGTGACGTGAATTAAAATAGTGTCAAAATTGCAGTAGCTGAAAAAAAATTTTAAAATTCAAGATTTCTAATGCATAATTTTTTAATGTTATTTGATTGAATTGAAAAGTAATATAAATTTTGCTTCTAAAAGATTAAAATTTAAGTAATAACAACAGGAAGTTATCCAAAGTTTTAAGTAAAATTTGAAAATTTCATCAAAATTCGAAGAAAAATGAGTGCCCATCGAAAAAGAACTCAAAGAAGAAAAAATAATTGAAATATCCATTTCAAAGATATTTAAGAGTGTAAATTAAATTACCTGATTTCTGCTGTACACGACGTTTTCTATCAGTTAAACCTAGGAAACTTCGAATTTGTGCCTGTAAGTTCGTTGTTACGATACGTAACGCTTCATCACGTAAATCCTCGAGACGAGCCAAAATACCAGCTTTAAAGAAGACCTTCGTTGAACCCATTTTGAATTCCTCATCGCTTAATTTGCCGGTATTACACAGAAAATCAGTGATAGCCGTTGATGCCACCTTTTCATCGTCATTTTTTGCTGCGTCAGCAGCAAGGATAGCGTAACGATGTTTGAAGTCGGAATAGACCATCCTGTTCGGGAAACCTTTACGACAAATTCGAATACCCTCTAGCACACCGTTACACGTTAACTGATTTAGCACTAATGCAGAATCGATAACCCCTAAATGTTATTCAATTAATCAAAATGAATCAACCAATCATTCATATTCTTTAAAATAGACAATAGAATTATTTAATATGGAATTTTAGTTTTGCACTTGAATAAATCCTCACATAAATAATTTTAGTTTTGCATTTAAATAAATCTCACACAAATAAGTAATATTTAACAATGAGGAATTAATAGAGAAGGATCACAGATAATGCCGTTTCATTAATTTTTTTTCACTTTTATACTAAAATTACTTACCGCTAGCTTTCTTCTCGTTTGGTATGATACAACGGATGAAGTGTGGATGTGTTTGATATAGCATATTCATTAAATTGTTCAATGATTCGCGATATATCATTGAGACAGTCATAAATGACGCTGACTTACCTTTCTTACGTCCACCTTCTAAACAGATCAGAATGTTTTATGTTCATTTGTTGTTATGTAATTTGATTAATGCGGTAAGGAAATCTATTAATAAACCATTCAACAAATCGTTTCTTTTCAATTTATTCTAGCATTATTGTCAGGTTATCGATCAGTTCAACTTATTTGCAATTACAATTGTAGTTTTCCAAAAATATAGAGCTACTTCGAGAATCTCTTTAAGCATTACAAAACTAATTCTTAACGATCTCGAAGTTGAAAAAGCATTTGACACACCAATGCCAGCTTTAGCGGCTTCTGCTGCTTCTTCCTGAGTTTGATAGTCAGCCCAAATGTCCAGTAATAACTGATTGCCTTTGCAGTGCTTCAGAACGGCAACAGCCGAATCGTTCAACGGATCTTTATTCTTCTCCAAGAAGTTTGAGGCATTATATCGCACCTAAATTTTTTAAATAAAATTAAAATTATAGTTGGTTGAAAGTTATGTTTTCAATTCTAAAAATTCTATATTATTTCATCAGAGATTTCTCCTATTGATTAGTTGATTCTAATAAAATACCGAAATTTCGCATAATTTCTTTCCAAGAAAGCAAATGAAATATTAATTACCTTATTTAATTTTCAATCAATTCACTCATTCTTCATATTCTTTAGTTTTTATGTTGTTGACATAAACTTCATAAGATTTACTTATTTTTACCAAAAGTTTTTTATTAGATTTGAAGATAAAATAAGAAAATTCACGAAAACATACGGTGCCAGCATAATGAACGACGGCAAAATGAGCTTCAGCTTGTTTTCCCTTTGGTGGTCGGGGTTTCTGGAAGTTGGGATGTTTACCGAGATGTTGGTCATTCAACTTCTGCACAAATGTCATATCAGTCGCCTTTGGTACAATGCACTCCTCATCCAACATCGAAATGATACCCAAAGGCTAAAAAAAATTGACAAATTTTAGAAATCGAATAAGCAAGATTACGTGCTCCAATTAACGTTATATATTTCTGTTTCTAATAGAAATTTACAATAATTACTTTCTCAATCAGTTCGATACAGGCTTGTAAATCAAGGCCGAAATCAATAAAAGTCCATGCAATTCCTTCACGTTTGTATTCTTCTTGTTCAAGAACGAACATATGATGATTGAAGAATTGTTGCAATCGTTCGTTTACAAAATTAATCCATAATTGTTCGAATGAATTAAGCTACAAATTTTTGAAATGATCTTATCTTGAATTCTCGAACATTCATTTCATCTACTTGAAGTTATAAAATTCTAGAATTCATATTCATTACTTTTATGTGTTTTGATCAGATGCTTAATGTCAATAAATGGAACTATTTTAAATATTCAAAACTTTAAAATGAGAAAAGCAAAAAATATACGTCGAAAATTTCAAAACCAGCAATGTCCAGAACGCCGATAAAATATTTTCGACTTTCTTTGTTTTGGTCAAGTGTTTTATTACACCTATCGATGAGCCATCTGAACATTCTCGCATAGATAGCTTTTCCGAGACCATCTACTGCCCAATGCACCTGAAGATCTTTTACTTCCAATCTCATGCATTAAAATCATTGGTTATTCTTATGATCAGCGACTTCAACATCTACACTTTCTGGAAAACTTGAAGATGGAATTAATTTCAAATTAAAAATGAAAGTAATAAAAATCTATTCTTTGAACTCTTCATTCGTACCTGTTCCAAGTTCTGACCTTTATTAACCCATTCTGCGCCAACACGAACACGTGGTTTTGTTAAAGCTTTTAGGAATTCCTCGTGATCAACGCCGAAGCAAAAGCCGGCATTCTTTGCATCTAAATACTAGTAATAATAAAACTTTTCATTCTTTCAAAACAAAAATTTAAATTTCAAATGCTCTAAATCTTCAATTATCATATGTAGAAACTATAACACTTGCTACATACGCTAGACTGGAATGAGATGAAATGAAAAATGATGGAAAAAATCTACACCTTCTTCTCCATCTGGTTCTGCTTGCTCTTCACGTGGTCGTTGCTTAAATTTCATTTCACCCATATGCATGATACCAGCCACATTACCGTACAGATCGTGAGTTTCATGATCCTCGAAGCCCATAATATCAAATGCTTCCTGAAATAATACAATGAAATTGAAATTTTTAGCTACTTTTAATTTGCTCAGTTTAAGTAAACAATCATACCTGTGTGATTTTCATTTCTTCCCTGTCATCCACACCTTCGATGGTTAGTTCTGCTTGGGAACAGAAGTGATAATATTTGAGTTCATTTGTCAAATGTAGTTCTTCTATAAATCAATATCTCATGTGATTATTTCATTATCATTTCCGTTATCAGAAGGGTAGAAAGTTATAATTATTACATTTCAAATATTCGATTTTTATGGGGTAAATAAAAATGTCATCTTAATGCTAACCTCTTATTTTTGGATGAAAACCTGACATGAGCTGGTAATAAATGTGATAACTACGTTCACCAGGAGCTTGCCGCACAACACGTGACTTTTCAAAAAGATCTGAAAAAAACATGAAAGAATTGTACTAACATTAATTTGTTAATAGTTTTAATAAAAAAGTCAATAACCAAAAAATTCAATAAATTGAAGAAAGGAAGAAAAAACTCACAGTGCTCAATATCACCACCAGATAGTTTCCCATCTTTGGTGAAGTGAGTTCGGATGAATTTACCAAATCGTGAGGAATTGTTATTTCGAACTGTTTTTGCATTACCTATAAGTAAATGATTTTAATTCAAAACTCTCACCATCTCATCTCAGTCATTTCTGTGCAATCAATATGAATTAAACTAAAAGTCCTCTTTATCATTCTCACAAGAGAGATATTAAATAACTATTTAATTAAAGAAAACTGTCCAAAGTAATTTTTTTTTAAATCCAAATATAAGATTGAGATATAAAATAGGAAGAAAACTATGGTTAAATTGTTGCAAATTAATAATGAAGTAATATTTTTAATTTATGAAACTTCGAATTTTAAATTATAAAAGCAGGTAAAATTTTTCATTAAAAAGTATCTCACCGAAAGCTTCCAATACTGGATTTGTTTGCACAATTTGTTCTTCTAAAGTCCCCTAAATTTTAAACAAATATCATTCTCGAATGATGAATTATTTAAGCTTGAATGAAAAACTAATGAAAATGACTTTGTACAGAAATGTTTTATATCACAATATTGTGAAAATTATTGAAGAAAACATATATATTTTTGGAAAGCAGTTTTGATAAATACATCAAACTTTGGACCATCATATTATCACAAAATATTTTCAAATTCAAGGGCAATTAATTAAAAGCAAAAGTTGGCTAATTAATTTACAGATTTCTCAAAAATCAATTAATTTTTAATAGTCTAACAATAGTTTAACATTTTATTAAATTAATACGTACTCCCTTTTTGCCTTCTTCCTTCTTCTGTTGCGTGGCACCCACAATAGCAAAGTAAGCAATAACTTTCTTTGTGTTCTCAGTTTTACCAGCGCCAGATTCACCAGTAATCAACATTGATTGATTCTCATGATCTATAAGTAAATTAGAATATGGATTATCGCTACCGTTTCTATGATATACTCTTAACTAAAACAATACTGTAATGATATTGTAACTACCGGAACTGCACATTGGTTATAGTGTTAGAATTGGAAAGAATACTGTAAAGTTTTAATTCTAAATGCAACAATGAATTTAAAGTGATATAATAATTGTTGAGAGAAGTAAAAATTAAAACGATATGATAAGATAAATGATAACGAAAAAAGGCTGCGCTTGAAATAGGCTAATAAAATTATGACTAATCATACCAATAAGAATATTCCGATATGCTTCATCGGATACAGCGAATAAATGTGGTGGTACTTCGTTTCGTCTTTTACCCATGTAATGTCGAATGATGGATGGAGTGTAGATCGGTAATCGCTTGTATGGATTAATTACCACACAGAATAGGCCAGAATATGTCTAAAATATATGATCAAGCTAAATATATTATAATAAATTGGCTTTTTTTTCAATATTTGAAAATATTTAATATTTAAATAGGTGAAATTTAAATAGGGAAAGATTTCAGTTTTTATAATTTTGCGAAATTCTTACATAAATCATCATGGAATAGTATCGTTCTTTCAAGTTATTAAGGACAGAAGCTTCATTCAAAAATGTCAAATTCGCCATATCTTCAGTTTTACTGAATTTAGGCGGATTCATTTCCTGAACTTCTTCCTTTTTCACTGTAATTTCATTGCCCTTCACAGTGAACACCGTTACATTGTCGCCAGCTGTTGATTTTATTTCAGCGGCAACAAAGCCTGCAAAATTTCATATCTCCTAGAAGTTGCCTTGTAATAACTTTATCAGAAAAGTTTCATTTTTTTAATCCCTTCTTTTTTACCAATAATTTGTTTCTCAAAAACAAAAATCTTTTCAGTCTTAACTTACCATCCTCAGTATCGGGAATCCAGCAATTTTTTTTTGAATCGAATGGTCTTGCAGCATTTGTTGACTTCTCTTCTCGGCTAACTTCTAAGTATGGATATCCTTCGTCATCCTCAAATTTGCATGATTCACCGTTTTCTTCAGCCATCCTTGCTCGAAAATGCTAAAACGAATAGACTTCTGCATTCATCATTTTACATTTAAAAAAAACAGTGCCTGTCATTGCAGTTATCATTGCCATCTTGCACGTAATTACACAAAAAATCAAGAGTATGCGATATAACGTGTTAAGTAGCGTGTACGTGCACTTCATGAATGCAATGATCTACATAAATAAACGTAAAACCTGTTATTTACATTTCTGACGTTATTATTGATGTTTTGGAAATTTATCGCAGCCTAAGAATTCGCAACGAAAGCTAAGTTGTTTCAATCTACCTTTTAATCATATATTTAATGAGATGAATTAATGACCTCAGAATCTACGACTAATTGATCATATTCTAAAATGCACGAAAAAAGATAATTCCCGGAAAGTTTTGACAAATTTCGCAGATCTCTTTACTTTCTTTAAAAGTTTGGATCGAATATTGAAAATGCCACGTTTGCTAATTGAATGATGCAAAATCATTTCACAACTGTTTAGGAATCAGATCTTTCCTAACTTCACAATGCCGGAATAGTTTCTCGTAATATCTTTTCAAGACATTCAGCGGCACTACACAACAATGCTGGAAATGAAGAAGGAATGGATGAAGCTTTTTGAATCCAGCAAAGCATGAAAAACATTTGATTCTTTTTGCAAAATTAAGATAACAATTTAACCGGTTTTGGAGACTTTACCGATTAAGTTAACAGAATAAACTAATAGATTAATAATTAGTTTGAAAATATTAAGTGAAGTGAAGTAAATGTTTGAAATAAAATTAATAATTCATTAGCAAATATTTCTTTTAACAGTTGGATGTTTCAAAATGCATCATTTATTCTTTCTTTCTTTTTTTAAAATTCACTTTCCTTCGTTTTCACAAAAATTTTAAAACTATACGAAATAATTTAAGAAGTCGAAAATTTTTTCTCTAACACTGAATCAGAAAAATTAAAAATACTACACTCTTTTGCATATCCTCAATTACACAATTTTTATTAAAAGAAGTATTTCTGAGCAACTGCTGCCGAAAAAATTGCTTGGGAGATATTGCAGAAACCACAAAATCTTATCGCTCTCCTCCTGAATTCCATCGAAAAGTATTCTCATCCATCCGTCCATCCATTCATCTATCAATCCACCCATCTATTCAACTGATTTATTTATCCATCGATCAATCTCTCTATCTGCTAATGCTCTTATCTCTCTATCAACCTTCTTACTTTTTATTCAATTTTTCTGAAGAAAAATACGAATAAAACTTTTGCAAATGAAATCAGACATACACAAGCTAAAATATAAACAAATAAATTCGAAGAATTCATTTTTTTTATTTTCTAATAGATTTAAATATAAGATTTTTAAAATTTCAATTATCATGAAATGATTCGGTTTGCAGGCATAAAACGTCTCGAGAATTTATACGGATCAATTTTAATTCTAGCTATTAAAAATAGAGTTAATGATCAAAATTTTGAGAAAAAAAGAATAAAATAATAATTCAAAAATACATTTGAAAGGACTGAAATAAAAATATTCAGTGATAGAAGATGGAATTTCGAATAGCATTCATTGATTCAAAATAAAAATTTGAGGTAAGAAAAGGATACTGTCATAAGGAAACTGATTGTCAATTTCATTAATTCAAATTTATCATAATGATCCCGAAATGGTTTTGTATTTTAGTTAGTTTCGATGTTTAGGAGTAAAAATGCATAGGAACCAGTAAAGCTTTTCCACTTTATTTTAATTTTTGCGAAAGACAGAATTTATAAATAATTATTCTGTTGTTTTTTGCAAATGTGCAAGCATTTATTTAAAAAAGGAATGTTAAAAGGCGTTTAAATTCTTTGCTTGCTCTCAGTATAAATACAATTAAATTTGAGAACCTTACATGATATCATTTACTTACAGTATATCTCATTAATATTCTTTCTTCATTACCTTCTCTCTTTTTATTCGTTATCAGTATCGTTTTTACTTTGTTCTCACTATACTACTTTACAGTATCATGAGAGTCTTTATCAGAATGAACAGAACATTTCTTCTGTTACGTTATTTTCCACATTTGGTGCCTCAATTGGTGTACCACTAACTCTCAGTTTACTCTAAACCTCTTCTTTTATAGCTACATGATAACTTTATATAATAAAGATTTCGGTTTTAAAAGTACTGTAAAATTCATCTTCAAAATAAAATAATCTTATTTAATAAATTAAAACACTCAAGAAGCTATCGAAAAGTCTAAGGATAGTAGTATATGACGATAAGAAATAAAGATAGGGAAAAATATCTGATGAATTGAAGTGAAAGTGATGGATTTGGATGGGAAAATATTTTAGAATATCGTACGAAAAGGGAAAAAAGACAACACCAAAGCCAAGCAATAACTGAACAGTTCAGGAAGTGGAAAAGCGCTGAATTTTTGAGAAATTAAATTATGAAATTTCCAAACATAGTAGAAAAAGAATGAGAAGAAATTAACAAGAGAGTCTTGTATAAGTACTAAAATTTTCAAAACTACCGAAAAAGTGAAACCAAAGGCTCTAATAGAGTGGAAAAGTAAGAGGTAGGAAAAGACATAATGGATTATAAGGTATAAAGCATATCACCTGAGCTATATTAAGAGGAAAGCAAGGCATCTTTACAGCTAAGAAAGAGCTCTGCTTGCATTAACAGGGACAGAATAGAACAGAATAAAAAGAATACGGTTCACTTACAACAGCAAATGAAAAATTTATATATCTTGCTATAACTAATGCTACTTCCATTTATTAAAAAATCGCTATGTGCAAAAAAAGCATTTGTAATATTTGCTTAAATATAATAAAATTTGAACAAAAGTTAAAAAATTATAATAAATTATAATTTACAATAACATCAATAAAAATGAACCATCTACAACAAAATTTGTAAAAAAACATTAAATGAGGGATTGTGCTAAGAGTTGTTTGCTTAACAACTAAAATTATTATCTTAAAATATTGCATTGGTTAATTGGTTAATTGCATGGTGAATTAACTTCCTATGGTTTCAGGCTTAATTTAATAGACTTTTTGGCTAAATAGGAAATGTACGGATAATGAGTTGTGGTAGGAACTGATATGTCAATAACCTAAGAAGTACGATAAAGAAGAAGAAGGACAATAAGGTGAAGATTTATATGTGATGCGTTTATGTTTGTGTGGAGTAGTTCTGGTAGCAGTTTCATAGCAAATGGTTCCAAAATTTGTGTAATATAAGCTTTAGTAGTGGGTTAGACAGGAACGGCTGCTTTGCAACACCAAAATAGACGATAGGTGAAGGAATCAAAATACAAAGGCGTAGGTGTAATAGAGGTATATGCTATCTATTCCACTTCTTTCCTTCATTCCATTATAGATATATCCGGTGAGAGAGAGAGAGAGAGAGAGAATCCAGAAGTTCTGGACGAGATCGGAGTGGAGAAAATAGAATGAATAAAGAAGGCTAAAATTAAACTAAAGCTGTGGGCGGTAAATTCATTGGTAAGAATGCAAAAGAGAAGTTAATAAAAACTGAGTGTGATCAAGAAGCAAAGTGATGATGAGAAAGATTGAAGCAAAAGAAATGAGAAAGAATGTGAAAATTTGAAGGCATCATAGAGATTTCAATATCATTCCTCTTTCTCGCCATCTTTTTAACTTTTCTTCAGTAATCTTCTTAATTTCTTACTAACTCAAACTTTTTTCCACTTCATTCCAAGCATTCTGTTAAGATAGCTTGAACGCTAACATTGCTAGCATTATCAGATAATCGATAGAATGAACGGATAGAAATATTCATCACTGTATAACTCTTTTAAACTTTGGAAAAAAAAGAAATAAATTGAACATTACCAACAGAAACAATAGAATTAAAGTTAGAAATACCATTTTTTTTGTTGCATCAGAATCATTTTTAACAAGCAACAATATTTCAAGAAGAAAATTAACCATTAATTAGCAGATTAAATTAAACTTTCATTTATTCTTTTCCTTTTCGTATTGTTTTATTGAAATAATAACTCAAGTAAAATTTATTAATTGCAGAAAAATTTATTAAAAATTTTTGTTCATTAATAATATCGTCAAAAAAATAATGGATTTTTTTAGAAACTATACTTTATAATATCCAAAACTTTTAAATGATCACAGATATTTTAGTTAACAAAATTAATATTTAAAAATTTTAATTTGCATGAAACAATAATTTGAGCTTATATGCTTTGACTATTGCAAATAAAAGTCTCATTTCTCATTGATTTCATTCATGCCATTTACATAACAATTAAATGGAAAAAATGTGAGTATCTTCATTAAATTAATTCAATAAATTTTGCATTTCACTCATACTATAAATTATTTTCACGCATGCAAAAAAAGGTAGTAAATATATTTACGTAATATGTGCAACAAACTGCTCTCTGAATCACATGAAGTGATCATTGATAAATTAATTTATTGTTTTTGCCAGAAGAAAGTATTTGAGTGCAGTAATTTCATCTTTCATAGATCAACAAAGAAAGTAGGAAAGTGGTTTTGTTTCTTTTTTTCGCACAAACTTTATAAACCTTGTAGAATTTGCTGAAAATAAAAATTCGTTTATGAGATAATACATGAAAAGTTCTCGTTTATATTCGACGTTACAAGAAGGAATGAACATTTTTTGGAACGCATTTGTTCAAAAGAAGCACAGCTGTTTTGTTGTAAACAACAATATGATTGTTTGTTAAGTGACTGTCTAGTTGAGAATATGTTACTTTACAATTATTACACTGGACGAAAAAAAAACCCTCACTTTGCTTTTTTCTTCCTTTCTTCTCTCAACTTCCTGTTCATTAATTGTTGTGTATAAACTAAGTTTTAAAAAAAACAATTCTTGAAAATGTCTCTTTTTCTACAGTAAAAAAAAAATTTAAAGAAAATAACCATCAGAATGTTATATGATATAAAAACATGACATTTTTTTTTGAAATGAAATTTAATATATTGAATTTAAAA